TTTTTTTTTTTTTTTTTTAAAGAAATGGGGTCTTACTATGTTGTCCAGGCTGGCTCAAACTCCTAGGCTCAGATGATCCTCCTGCCTCAGCCTCCCGAGTAGCTGAGACTACTGGCATGAGCCACCATGCCTGGCTAATCAGAGTTGGCTTTTGTCTTCAGACATGTCTCCTTGGGGTTCCTGCAACCACTGCCATGGTTTGGGGCAGTACAACAGACAAGGGAGCATCCAGAGGCAGCCCAGAAAACCTTCCAGAATTCTCCCGCCACCCCCTCCTGCCAGCCTCACATCTCCTTGGCCAAAACTGTGGCCCATGTTTATGAGATGACCCTGACTGACTTAGGCTGGTCAAAATGAGCCCTCAACTGAGGCATCCACCTCCCCCAAAGGACGTGGGACCGGAAAGGGCTGAGCAGAATTGAGGTTCTGTTACCAGAATGGGCACCAGCGTCATCTGCCAACTGACCTCTGGCTTGGGCTTCTTGGTGCCTCAGTGCCTTCACTGCAGCGGCATGAAGGAAGCTGCATGGCTCGAGGTCATGTGTGCAGAGCACGGGGCTTGGAGCCTGTCTCTAGCAGGCCTTCCGCGACAGTCGTCCTTTTGTTGATTTTAGTCATGTTAATATCTTGTGAGGCTCCATGCCTTTTTTAATAGAAATGACGTGTCCACCTGCCAAATGCTTTCTGAGTCAGCAGTACTGCCAGAAGCCACTTCATAGTAAAACTCCTCACATACCCAGAGCCCCTGAGCTCTGATGGGAAGCCAGGTGGAGTGCAGAGGTGGGAGGACAGGTGCCCTGGATAGATTTAGCTTGCTACAAAGAGGCAAGATGGTGCTCTGGCAACTCAGCTTGGCCTGGAGGAATTGCCAGTGAGGGGCTTGAATTTCACAAAAATGTGACTGGGACTGGCAAAGGTTAAATTGGGAGTGCATGTTGTAGGGAGGGCTGCAGTTACAATGGGGACAGAGTCCGGCAGACACAGATGGGAATGGCCACACCGTTAGGGTTCTCCAGAGGAGCAGAACCAGAAGAAGGGAGGGGGGAGGGAAGAGGGAAAGAGGGAGGGGGGAATAGATGGATGGATGGATACATAGAAATAGAGGTGATAGATAGATAGATAGATATAAAGCTGGATGGATGGATAGATAGATAAGACAAATACATAGAGATGGATGGATGGTTACATAGCTGTAGAGATAGAGAGATGAATGGATGGGTAGACAGACAAATGGACACACAGATATGAGATGGACGAATGCACAAGTGGGTAGATACAGAGATAGATGATAGATGAATAAGTAGCTATAGAGATGGGTGAATGAGTGGTTGGAGAGTCGTAAGTCGGCAGCACCCTGACAGATAGATAGATTTATTTATTTTTTATTTTTTATTTTCTTTGAGTTGGAGTCTCACTCTGTCGCCCAGACTGGAGTGCAGCGGCCGCTCCCGGCCACCGCAGCCTCGACCTGCTGGGCTCCGGCGATCCTCCCGCCTCAGCCTTCCAAGTAGCTGGAACTACAGGCGCGCGCTACCACACCCGGCTGATTTTTCAATTTATCGTAGAGATGAGGTCTCGCCAAGTTGCCCGGGCGGGTCTCAAACCCGTGCGTGGGCTCAGGCAATCTACTCACCTCAGCCTCCCAAGGCATGGGATTACAGGCTGAGCCACCGAGCTGGCTTAGATAGATTTATTATAAGGTGTTAGCTTATGTGATGATGGAGGTTGAGAGGTCCCAGAATCTGCAGTCAGCAAGCTGGAGACCCAAGAGAGCTAATGGTATAGTTCCAGTCTGAATCTGAAGACAGGAGGAGACCAGTGTCTGAGCCCAAGACTGTCAGGCAAAGAGCAAATCCTCTTCCTTGGCCTTTTGTTTGACTGAAGTCTTTAATGGGTTGGGTGAGGACCACCTATGTTGGAGAGAGCATCTGCTTTACTCAGGCTACTAGATGGATGGGTGGATGGGTGGGTGAGTGGTGGGTGGATTGATAGATGTATGGGTGGATAGGTGGACGAATGGATGGGTTGGCGGATGGGTGAGAGAAAGGAAGGAAGGAAGGAAGGAAGGAAGGAAGGAAGGAAGGAAGGAAGGAAGGA